GTTCGAGAGTTCGGTTACGTGTGAGGAAGGTTATAGCACCCTCACAACGCCTATCAAAAGATGGTACCAGTTTAAATTTGTGTTATCTAATGAGCCTTAAAATTTTATCAAGTAATTAATTATTAGAAATTATTCTTAATTGACTCTAATACTTTTAGAAAAAAATTGAGAAAATTCCCTCACCTTAAAAGTAAGCAAAAAAACTACTGTTTCACTTACAGAGGCTCCATCATCGGATTATTTAACATTAAAAAATAAAAAAAAGAAAATGATTATTTTTGTGCAGGAAAAATTGATACTTTTAACTTTTTCTCAAAAAAAAAAAATCTTTTTGAAAATTTATTTTTAAGGAAAATTGATACTTTCAACTTTTCCTAAAAAAAAATCTTTTTTGAAAATTTATTTTTAAGGAAAATTGATACTTTCAACTTTTCCTCAAAAATTTATTTTTTGAAAATTTATTTTTAAGAAAAATTGATACTTTCAACTTTTTCCCCAAAAATATTCTTTGGAAACTTTTATTTTCAAGAACAATTGATACTTTCAACTTTTCTCCAAAAAAAACTTTTTTTGAAAATTTATTTTTAAGAAAAATTGATATTTTCAACTTTTCCTCAAAAAACTTTTTTTTTTATTTTTTATTTTTAAAAAAAATTAATACTTTCAAATTTTCCTTAAAAATATTTTTTAGAAAGCTTATTTTCAAGAAAAATTGATACTTTCAACTTTTCCTCAAAAATATTTTTTTCTTGAAATTATTATTTTTATTATTAACCAATGTTTTTAAATAATGAAAACATAAAATAAAATAAGTGAATAAATGACATGCTACAACCAAAAAAAAAAAAAATCAAAACGGGATAGAAACTATCTTAGCAAAATTTGAGCTTAATCTCGGATCAAAACCAATTTAAGTCAACCTTCTGAATCAAGCTTAGATTGTTTCTTGAATGGGTTTCAACTCAAGGCTTTGATTTTGATTAGTGAATGGCTCGGGTTTAAGGTCTTGGTTGAGCCTATCTTGAAGCTGGTTTTGCTAACTGTATTCCTTTCTATCATCACAAACATAGGATAGGCAGCTACCCTTATTCGAATAAATACAGAGATGTCTGGTGCTAACGTCAATTTTGGAGATGACACGTGAACAGTCTCCACGTCATTCTGAGCAAAAGGTGGCAGCAACTGACTGTTTTCAGAAAACTAAGAAGTTGGCAAGTTAGAAGCTGTAACAGGTAATGACACATTCATGGCTAGATATTGCATAGATTGCTGCATGGAAGGTGGCATTGGCAAGCCAGGTGGGAGTCGGAGTAAAGGTTGCTGCTGTGGAGGAAAACCATTAGTTGACCCGTAGTAACCTTGCCAATATATAAGCATGGAAAGCCCATCATTTGTGGTTGGAGCAGATGATGGCTTCCAGCCGCCAGCCTCGACACCTATTGGCAGTACCAGTGACCACGAGGAATTGTTGGTAGAGATGAACATTTTTTATGGAAGGCCCTCGGGCATCCATCACAAAGCAAAAGATTTCCACCATCAGCACAAATGATGCATGCATCATCATTATCCTTGGCAGAATAACGACGACCTTTTGAGAGAGATATTGCCAGTTCATGCAGAGACACCCCATTAGATGTGTAAATGTAAGCATAGGGTTTTCGGCGAGAAGCCTGACCAGCATGAGCTTCAAATTGTGAGGGGCTAACCTCACAATTGCAACAACGACAAATTATCCCATAGCCCATTTTGCAACCCTCAAGCAATCTCTGTCCATGCACACAATATGCAACTTCAGTCCCATCAGGCAGTCCATCTTCCTCAAATACCAACTTATGCAATCGCTGATCTTTTGTTGTCATTTTTCATTGACTTCCATTGGGTGAATACATTGGCGATGAGGCACCTTTGAAGGTCTTTGACATCAAAACCGATTTCACTGGCTTCTTTTTTATTCTCCATTGGCCCTTATTTTGTGAGGAAATATAAACTGAAGCACTCTTCAAGGACTTTGTGAATAACCCTGGTTTTGTCAACTTTCTGGCTTTTTTGCATTGACTTTTATTTTGTGGAGAGATGCTCAATGACACACTTCCAGAAGACTGTGACATCAAAATTGGCTCTTGTGATTTTCTTGTTATCTTTTATTGTCTAGTAGATTATGGAAAGATACCCATTGTAGCAGTTCTAGAGGAATGTGAAATCAATAATGGTTCTTGTGATCTAGCTCCTGCTCTGGGTGCACTCATTGTGCTGCACTGAGATTTTTTTGACTCCATGCATGAATTACAAAGTGGCCCTATTTAGCCAACATGTATTACAGGAAATGAACCTTTGCATCTTCGACAAGTGAAACATTTTTGCTCAGGCAAAGCACTAACGATATTTTGAATTGTTGCTTCTAATGTATGCAGTGGTCTCCTCCTGTATGCCCTCAACACATCAAGCAGGCTCTTCCCAATTTTAAAAGCAGATATATTGTAATCCCAGAACTGGTTGAGGATGAAAACTAGCAAACCGGTTTCCCTGAACAGCCTCGTTATTAATTGCTGACAAATGACCGGTTGTGATTGGCTGAACGTACATACCCACCACCTGATCACTTCTCATATGTTGAGGTCCTTGAGGTTGGCCATGTGTTACACTAACTTGAGTAACCATTGACTGAGGATATTGAGCACCTGCAATTGGGCTAGAGTCTGCTACCTGTGTTCCCCAGGATGGTGGTGGTAGCAAGCCACTACTATGGGCACCATAGACAGGTGATGGGGGGCTGCTGTTGTGGAACCAACTGACCATTCCATGCAGGACCTGTGCCTTGAGCATATGACTGCTCATATCGAGGTGATCCCATGTTTGGTGTAGTTCCATTCGTATGAAAATCCTGCTGCTGCTGCTGAATTTGAGGAGTCCAAGGATTGGTTTGTCCATCTAAACCCGAAAACTGGGTGTTAACAGAATCAGAGGTGTTGTTACTATCAGAGAACATATCAAAGAGAACAAGGGCATTCTGCTGTGATGCAGGAGTTGTTTGTTGTGTTGTTGCTGATCGGTTCCATCAATAATAAATCATGGTTCTTCGGATTATGCATCTGCTTCTTCAAAGTCTCATATCCATCAACATATGGATGAAACACGATCAGTCTGAACTCTACTGTATAGGTAGAAGCACCATCCCCAGAAAAGATAAAGCCACCTTTAATTGACAAGAAGAAAAGGAATATCTACTGAGGAGGCCACGCGATTTGAAGTAAAGTTGAAGAAAATTAGAAGTGATTTACGCTAATAGTTTAGAAGAAGTGGATGAGTCTCCGATCTACGAATTGATAAAAGCCAGAAACTCAACCTAGCTTAAAAAAAATATACCGCCAATCGTAGATCTAACAGCTATGTCCAGATCTAATTCTATCTTCTCATCGGTCTTGAATTCTGTCTCTCAACAAGAAATGAAGACATCCAGCTTATTCTGTAGAAAAATCTGAACCAAAAGGCTGCTACTTCCGATCCACAATCTCGAACTGGGGCGAATGAAGAAAGCTGCCTTCATAAAGCATAAAGAAAGACAGCTGGATTGAGTTCCACAGCAAGGCTCAATTCGTTACAGTCCATTACCGAAATGACTGTGATCTCTTTTTTTGTGGCCCTCTCTCCTATTCGGATTCCTCTTCTCTCTTTTTTCTTTCCCCTCAAACTGTGAATCCCCCTGATTTATAAAACCATGCTGTTTTTTATAGAGTTTCAGTTCAATTTCACTAAGTCATCAAATGCTAAAGATTAGCATCTAATTATCCTTTCTGATCATCATCAAACTTAATCTCAATCTTTTTTTTTTAAATAATCAGATAATGAAGATAGAAAAAGATAATAAACCATAAGTAGACCATAAGATAAAAATTAAAAAATGATAAATATGAAATAAAAATTTACAATCGAACTTGGATCGGTTTTACTTGACAAAGGACCTCAGACAAAATGAGATGTCTACAAAAAATAAAAAAGAAAAAGAGATTGTACTATAGACATATGGTACTTGTGCATTTAGTGGCCAATAGAGCTTAGTATTTTTTTTTTTTATGTTAGAAACCTTTAGCATACAACAAAAGATAATTTAGACATTTATGCCTACCTGATATGTTAGGTCGATTTGACATTTTTAATGTCACGTTAGCTTGGCAGTGTCTTTATTGTCCTCTAATGGTCCTCTATCATTTATTTATAAGTATGAAGTCCAAGCATCATGAAGATGACACACATCACTCCATCTTCTCTCTATTACTTTCCTTTCGACCTTATTTTTTCTGACTTGCACATCATAGTGCAAATACAAGGAACACTCTCTACCTTTTGCCTTTAACTACCCTTCTTTTTTATCTTTTCAGGAATACCCTGAAATCGGAGCTCAGTACAAACATTTGGTGGCCTATATAGGGAACTTCTTTCATTCATTAATCGAGCGTAAAACAATGCCAATAAGGAAGAGAATCTTAGAGGAAGGAGAGACGGTTGTCCTAGTTGAAACAAAAACTTATCATAGCCAAAATTCCATCTGACTTGCCCAACCATAAAAAGGATCGACCATTGAACAATTCCAAGCCTTGATCGAATAGATATAGACTCTTAAGCAGATGTTATATACCATAACTCCATCATAAGTTTTAAAAATGCCTGACCTAATCACCTTTGGTTGAGAGCCATTGTCAGATAATTGAGCAATGAAGAGGTAGAGCCTTCTCGGCCTCTAGAGAACAAGAGCACAACACCTCAATCCATCATTACCCCAGCCACAATTCAACATAGGCTACACCTAAAAATTCAAACAAACAAACCTTAAATCCTAACCAAACAAGGATTTGAAAGCTTAGATGCATACCATGGAAAAAGAGTTAAAAATAAAAGCAGTGACATTTGAGGATGAGCTTAAGTTTCTAAAGACCTCACCTTTCATCGAAGAATCGATAGAGCCATGCCTCTCAAGGGGTTCAAAATATCGACCTTGAAAACCTATGACGGTAATTTTGACCCTTTGGATCATTCAAAATTTTACAGAACTAATATGATGATGTAAGGGGCTGATAAGGTTCTAATATGTAAAAGCTTAGCTATTACATTGCAGGCTGCAGCTCAATCCTGTTATAACAGCTTGGAATCGAGGTCAATCATGATGTTCAATGAGCTCAGCCACCCTTTCTTGTTTAGGTTTGTGAGTAGTCGAAGAGTGAATAAGATAACTTTAACTTTGATATCAATCCAACAAGGACAGAATAAGACTTTGAAGAGCAATGTCACAAATTTTAACGTGAAAGCTTTGTAGGTTAAAGACTTAAACAAATGATCACTGTAACCATCATAACAAGTGGACTCAATGATAAAGAGTACCATCTGAAGTTGATATTGTCGTTAAAACCATCTAAACTTTGGTCGACATCTTACTGATAGCTGAAAAATATATAAATATTGAAGCTACAATAAAAAATAACCAAAGTGAAAGAGGCTCATCATCTTCTTCGATCGTAAGAAAGGCAATGATTTTTATGATCTTTCCCTAAAAAAAAGATGACATAGGGCTACAAGTCCTAGTGGAGAAAAGAACAACACTGCACTGAATGCCTTTTTAGAGAGCATTCTGATGCAAATTGAGAGGAATCTTGACCTCAAGTGGTCGAAGCCATTAAAATAGAATACAATAAGGGATTCGACTAAAAGATGCATTTTTCATAGAGACATAGGCCATAATACCAAAAATTGTGTTGACCTAAAAAATGAAATTAAAGCTCTGATAAGGAGATATCAGCTAAAGAGGTTTATAGAATGGCAAAGATAAGGCCAACCTAGAGTGGACTACAGACAATATCAAAGAGAGCTCACTTCAAGTAAAGAAGAAAAGCCAAAAAAATAAAAAAAAGAGAAGACCATGAAGATAAGTCGAGGTAAAAAGATGGTCGAATTGATAATAATAGGTTGATCGCTAAAGTGATTGATGCGATCACCAGAGGTAGTTTTACCTTAACCAAAAGAAAGTGCAATCTAGGCATGGTTATAGTAGTAAACACCTTGGTAAAGAAAAAAAAGATTGGAAAGATGAGCCGATCTTATTTAGCTTGAAATACTTTAAAAGAATCTAACACCCATATGATGATGTCATATTGATCACGATCGTAGTATATAACTATATAGTTAAAAGAATCATGTTGATAATAAAAGGTTGACTGATGTCATGTATTATGGCATGATAAAGAATATGAAAATTGGTAAAGATCGATTGTAGCTGATCACTACAACATTAGTAGGTTCGGGAATAAACAAGTGCTTGTAAAAAGAACAATCAAACTATCGATCTCTTTGGAGATAGAACCAAAGATAACCACCTCGGTTATAGAGTTTATGGTGGTGGATGTCCTATTAGCCTATAACATGATATTGGGTTGACCTAGTCAATATGTTATGTATTTATAAGCTTTGCTAATCATTTGAAAGTAAAATTTTCAACACCCAATGAGGTTGGAGAGGTTAGAGGAGACCGGTCTAGGATACATCAATGTTATGTCACAATAATAAAAGGAAAGACTAAAAAACAGACTGGCAGTTTGGTCGAGAATAGAAACACTAAGGAAAGGCAAATAGCAAAAGTCGACAAGAAGTAGAAACCATAAGCAAGAACACAAAATATAAGACCAACCTGATAAAAGTGTGCTCTTAAGTCACTCCGAGCTCTTAATCTTTAACAAAAAAAAAATTTGTTTTATTTTAAAAATTTTTTGAGGTAACTCTAAAGATGATCAAGCTTTTAAGCCAATGTGAACAATTACATGTCATTTCGATTGAGCTAATAGGTCGGCTAAAATACAATATGAAATGAAAAATACATACCAATTTCACTACATACATATTCAGCAAATTATCCATAACATACTAATCATTACGTCAGGATTTATTTTTGCAAAAAATGATCCCGACCTAATCGAACAAAAAAATAATTGATTAAAAACCAAACCGAATGAACCCTAGCTCAGACCGATTAGACCGGATAACTCCCCATAATGGATTGGATGCCCAGCTCATCGTCGGAGTTCAAAATAAAAAGCCAAATTCAAACTCCAAGAATAAAACACAAGTCTTACGTTGACTGAACGAACTTCATTACCAACCTCAAATCATTCCGGACAATTAACACTTTGATGACCTTTAAGACAGTCATATACTTAACTTAAGATGTATATGTAAGATCAAACTTCACCAGATCAGACCTTATTTCCTTGGACCTTACTTCACATAATTTTTAATTAGGATTATTTTAGCGTTATTATTGATTGAAAAAATTTAATATAAAAAAATGTTTAAAAAGTGTGATAAAATAATGTAATTAAAAATTTTAAGTATTTAATATTATTGTAAAAAATTTTAAATAATTAAAATGTTTAAAAAATATATAAAATAATAAAATATTAAAAATATAATGATAATATAGTAATTTTTTTTATTTCAAACGTATTTTTTTCCCATAAAAAAACATGGTTGAGGTTTTTTAGTTTGGATTGGCAAACCAGATTTTTAAAATGAAAAGTTATATAATTTTGTTGTTTAGTTTTGAAGTTAGATAAAAAACAGCTTTTGAATGTAAAACTATTTTCAATAGCATTACTAAACTAAGCCTATATCTTTCCTCGAAAGATTCAATCCTCTTCTTCCACTCCCTACCGACATATATATTATATGCATTAATTGAATTTAGTATAAATTCCCAAACCAAAACCTAACATTAGTCAACCAAATAATAATAAGTTAATCAACCTTAATTACAAATAGATAATTTTTATTGTGGATATTTTAAATTCTAAGGGCAAAATAGTTTTTTATTGACATTAAGATATTTTAGGTTCTTAAAAGTATCTTAGTCATTTAAGCTAGCAGACATGACAAACTAACCTAAATTATTGAAAGCATATTTCACACTTGACACCTTGACAGACCGCTTGATATCTTATCGATTTTACTTGACCAAGCTAACATATCATTTAAGTATCGGGTATCTAAAAGCCACTTTAGGTTAGGCCTATTTCATGTTAGGTTGGCACCTTGTCACCTTGCCACCTTAGGTTGGGTCATCTAGACCTAGCCACAAAAAATAAAGATCTCACTATTTACTAAGGAGATTGATGGACCTCAGCTTCATGGATAAATTGAAGATATTAAAGACTTTATTGTTTATCGATGAGATTGATTAACCTCAACCTTATAGATAAGCTGAATATAATAGATACCTTACTTTTTGCCAATGAGATTGATCGACCTCAGTTGCTAGTTGGCTTTCAAATACCTACCATTAAAACCTACAATAATACTTTTAATCCTTTTGATTATTTGAATTTATAGTATTAATATGTTGATATAAGGAATAGATGATCTAACTTGAGGTCAATCACATTATTCAAGCTTCTCATCATTCAAGCTTGGCACCTTGATTAATCATGTCACTTCATTAGCAGCTAACATAATAAAAAAATCATGTTGAAGCTACAAAAGTGGATGAACTCCACTTTAATTTCTCTCTTTTTAGAACCCTAAGACATTAATACATCAAAGCCGAGAAAATGATGATCGTAAAAGCTAAAGATGATAAACATTGAATAGACATGAAATAAAGAGCACAAGAAATGATCCTCGTAAGAAAAAAGATAAGATTTTCCAAGAACAAAGCATAAGAAATGTTCATCATGAGAAGAGGACAAGATACTTCAAGAGTAAAGCATAAGAAATGGTCTTCGAGTAAAGAGATATCCTATTGACCTCATGAATGATATAAAAGACCTCGTGAGAAGAGGTGATCACATTTTTAAGGAATGCCAACTTTATAAATGATATAGAAGACCCTATGAAAAACAGTGATCTCATTATTAAAAAATGTCAACATTATAAACAAGGTACTTTTAAGAAGAGGATAAAATGCTCTAACAATAAAGCACAATAAATGATATTTTCAACATGATCATAGTTATACTATTGATGGACGAGTCGACCTTATGAATGAGGTACTATCAACCTTTTACTAACATTTATTTGACCTAAATATATCTTTTGTTTACATCATTATTTTTTTTTGAAAAAAACACCTTAAGAATGATATTAGCCAATTTTTGTCAAAATATTCTATTTGAATTTATATATGATATGAACTTATTTTGTTATTGTTATTCATTGAGGATCTAAATTTGTTTAGCATACAAAAATGTATGATCTAAAATAAATGTTGAAGACATGGTTATCCATCTTGACACATATTGCCTTCACAAGAGCTCATTTCAGCAAAATTATCTTCACAAGAGCTCATTTCAATAAAAATTATCTTCGTAAAAGTTTAGCTTTACAAAATTGCTTTTATAAAAGCTTACATCAACAAAATTACTTTCACATGAGTTTACCTAGGCAAAATTTCCTTCATAAGATATCATTTTTATAAAATTTCCTTCATAAGAGATCATTATCGAAGGACTCTATGCAAACGAGAAAAGTCCCTGTGGGTCAAAACGGGAACATTCCGCTGCGGCGAACGCGGAAAGGAGTGCTCAACAAGACGGAGAAACCCCGGTGGTTGACTGTGGGTAGTATCTTTGTTAAGAATTTAGTGCTTTTGCTTGTTTTGGCCGGGTTGGTTCAGATTATTAGGAGATGGGCTTTGAAATCTGGGGGTGTTAGTGGGGTTGGGACACAGATTGGATTAACTGAATTCGAGGGTAGAGTTGCTGAGGTTGAGAGTTTTTTGAAGACCACAGCTAAAATGATTCAGGTTCAGGTAGAGGTTGTTGATAGGAAACTTGAAAACGAAATTGGTGGGTTAAGGAGGGAACTGAATGAGAGAATTGAGGATCAAACTGGGGTCTTGCAGAATTCGTTGAAAAAATTGGAAGAAAAGAGTGAGGGATTGGATAAGTCCTTGAGTGAATTGAAGAGCGCCAATTTGTTGACAAAAGAAGAGTTCGAGATGATGTATGAACAAATAATAAAGGAGATGAGTGAAAATGGTAAGACTGAAAATGCAGTGAGTTTGAGTGATCTAGGAGCATATGCAAGAGAGATTGTTAAGAATGAGATTGAGAAGCATGCCTCGGATGGGCTTGCGAGGGCTGATTATGCACTGTTTTCGGGCGGGGGAAAGGTTGTTAGGCATTCCGAGCCCTTTCTTGGTGAAAGGAAGCAACTGGCTTTGACAAGTAGTCAAAATGGTGTTCATCGTGATGCAGCCAAGATGTTGAAGCCTAGTTTTGGAGAACCAGGGCAGTGCTTTCCATTGAAAGGAAGCAACGGGTTTGTTCAGATCAAGTGCGCACAGCTATTATCGCAGAGCTATTACTTTGGAACATTTGCCAAGGTACATTTTGAATTTTGATTATGCTTACATTGTTCTAAAGCTGTTACTTTGTTTATAGTTCTACTTATGTATATGTCTTAAAATTTTGGTTTCAGTTTTTTTGGTATTGAGCCTGAAGCTCTATGTAGATCCATTGGCTGTAAATATTCAAACTCGAGCTCCCGTACACAATCCTTTTAGCCAAAATAATTTACAAGTGATATGAGCTATAGCCCTCTCTGGTTCAACCCTTGATCTTGCAATAACAGTATGCTTCGTACTCTTCCAAGACACTATATTTCCACTAACTAACAGCTAATAATTTTTAGTAGACTTCTTATAATTAGTAGATCTAGCTCAATTTGTTTCTCAATAGCCTCAATTTGACATCGGCAATAATTCGTTATTTTTATAAAGTTGGATATATATGAATCTTATAGTATTAATGAAAGAAAAACAAAAAACATTACACTGGTCTCTTATTTAAGAATCTATATTGGCTCTGTAGTCTGTTATAACACCCTCCTTACCCTGCATCTTACCTCCTTTATGTATTATTGTTCAGTATTAGATCTAAATATTTAAATAATGTGGTTTAGTAGTCTTTCCTTTCCTTTAATAGTGGTTTCAGGGAAAGAGAAATTGGTTAATACAAAAGCTGAGGCTTGACTGAAGAGTATGTGTTAGATGAGGATATATTTATCCATTTATGTTTACTTTTAATGGAGGCACACTTTTGGAGGTAGTGGGTGAAGACATCTATACATATATATATATATATTTCTGGCATTGCTAGATTGCATTGGGTAAAGAGAGTAAGAGCTACTGAGCTACTTGTGTATGTAGAAAAAAATGGATTGCTAGGATGGGACATTTGAGGGTTTGTTTTTCTTCTGTTTCTCATATTTACTTTTTGCCAGACATTTTCAACCTAAGATGTTGGAAATCTGTTGCTTTGAGGACAGAAAGATGCTTTTAGTAGAATATTATTTAAGTGGCTGAAAGTTTTAACGAGTTTTTTTTTCCTTTTTTTAATTTACAACATCTTGAAGTTGCATTATTAATTCTTGTTAATCTATCTGTCTTGTTGATTTGCCTATCTTGATTAAACAAGCATTTCATAAGGGAAACAATACACATTTTACAGAAATTTGGAATAAGAGAAGCCTACATTTTAATGAAGTCTCTTTGTGCAGAATTTTGTTCAGTGATTGTCCTTTGTGGACTTTTTCAGTTGTTTTTCTCCAATTGCATGTTTCTAATATATCTTTTCTTACTTTTTTTTTTCTAAAATTTTTGAAAGAAAGACTGTTTATATGTTTTCTATTTTGGAAATTTTAAGAAAATATTGTAAACCTATCTTGTGATTTGACCAATAGAATGAACCATTTTTAGCATTCTTTCCTTATTTCAATGTTTCTTAAACTTGCAAATTTGGAGAGTGGCCAATGAATGTCTCCCTCATATATGTAAAATTTTATGTATTTGTAGGAAGTAGATGATGTATCTTGACTAAAGGAAATCTAGCCTTTAGTTAAATCTCAATTAATGCAAATATTTATGCTTGGAGTGCAACTCTGCAGCTGGAGTAACATGCATCCTTTGCCACCATACCTAATTTTTGCTATACAAGTCTTAATGACATGCGTCCTAAAATTCTTGTGATCAAGGAAATGGCCTTTATTTTAGCTATCAAAACTCACCCTAATTTGTAAAGGAGGTTTATGAGACTGTCAAAAAACCTAATTTTCTTCTCTAAAGGTCTCTTTAACATACACCCTAAAGTGCTTGTCAGCAAGGAAGCAGCCTTCATGATATCTATCAAAGCTCTCCCCAGTTTTTCAAGGTGGTTTATGAGACTTTTCTCCAGTCTCCCTTTTGGTGGCTCAAGGTTTAGAATAGGGGGCTGTGTACTCCTTATTTCTGTGGATGAGATACCTATCTGGCGTACTGTTTCTTTTCTCTTTGCAGTAAATCTGGACCTTAGACTGATGTCATTTCTGTGTAAATTCCTTTAATCTATATTTCGGTTCACTTGGGTATTTAATGCTTCAATCAGGCTGGTGCACTTAAGAATTATGTGTAGCCACTTATCTACCATGTATTGGTTAAGGTTAAAACAGCATTAGATGCAAAGCACTTCTGAAAAATAAAAAAGGTTTTATTTAATACCATGTGCATGGAAATAATTATGGGGTATACCTAGGGAATGACTATACGAATCTCTTCTCTTCTCATCTATGATCTAAATACACTAATTCTTTTTCTGATTGCTTCAACTGATATGCTCTTTAGTGTACCTCTATCTTGCCTTGTTCTGGTGGCGCGCCAGAGGAGAGAATTATCAATTACGCCATTGATTTTTTTCTTTTATTTTTTGTTTCTGTATTCTACAAACATCTAGCATCAAGTAAAACATATATTTTTCACTTGCAAAGCTTCAAACTTCTTATGATTGAAAGTAAAGTTTTGACAGTTTTAAAATTTGCAGTTTGCATTTATCATCATTTATGAACAGTGCTTGCCTTTGCTTTTTGCTTCTTTTTCATTTAAATTATGGCCAGCAAAAATACATCAATTTAAGATACTGCTCTTACTGTATCTGTTCTCTATCAACTTTATCACAAGTGCTAAAAGTGTTGTTCTTCTACTGTGAACAGAGTGTAGCATATGATAGATCCAGTGCACCCAAGGACTGCCGAGTCTCTGGCTGGCTGCAAGCTCGTGATCTTGATTTACCGGTTGATGGCAATAAGATGTTTCTTTTGGCTGAATTCACATATGACCTAGAGAAGAGTAGTGCTCAGACCTTTGATGTGTTGGATGCGGCAGGTGTTGGCATTGTTGACACAGTCAGGCTGGATTTCGCTTCCAACCATGGAAGCCCTTCACATACCTGCATTTACCGTTTGAGGGTGCATGGTCATGAGCCCGATTCTGTTTCAGTGGTGAAAATGCTGCATTCTTGACGCATATCATCCTTTGCAATCTGCATTCCTCATGTAATTGTTTTTTTTTTTTTTTTTTTTTGTCTTTGTATTTAATTAAATATTACTTAGGTCATTCTACTTGCTAGATACAGATTTGTTATCGTGTTAATGTTTTCTTCTGTGTAGCAAATGAGTGTGAATCTACTTGTAGTATTCCAGTTAGGCTCTACTTGAATCGAGAACAATGATCTGTATGAAACTGAAATAGATATGCCTTGGTCTCTTGGCAGAAAAAGTTTGATAGACCACTATAATTGTTTGGGCAATTCAACACTATCCTTGCTTAGAGTATATTCATTTCATAGACATGATCATGAATGAGTCATTGTTTTGGCAATTCAAAGTTAGATCTTTCTTGCTTAAATGAGTCGGATAGTCTGAAAACCGTAAGCTTTTAAAGAGTATTGAATAGTTGAATTGTTGGGTAGTTTAGCACTTTTTTTTTTTTTATAATTGAATTCAAAGATGAAAGCAATGATGGCTGAAGAAAGTGTTTCGGATCTTTAATGTACAAAACAGACAAAAAAAAAAAAAAAAAAGGGAAAAATGCCTTGCCTTGCCGCATGTATAAAAATTAGGTTTGATAATTTGTATTTTTACGTTGTATTTTTAGTTGCATTTAACACGGACGTGTAATGATGTAAATTATTAAAATATGAATGACATAAATTATAAAGTATGCTTAAATTTTAAACACGAACACAATATTTTTAATATATTTGTTATATACATAATTAATATATATAGAATTAATTTATTTAAATACGATAAAAATAAATATGAATAATATATATATATATATGAATAAACATGATTAATACGAATATACATAAATAGATACGGTTAACACAAATATATACCAAAATACGACTAAAATAATAAATAACTATAAATTATTCATAATTTATAACTTAATAAATTGACATACTAATAATATAAAAAAATAAGAATTTAATATTCATTTAATATGTATTTAATATATATATATTTATATATACATACACACACTTAAAATTTAATTTATATGATTTAATTTATATGACATAACTATATTAAATTTTAGTATCAAATTCAAAATGATAAACTATTAAAGATTAAAGAATAAAATAATAATATATAAGATTAGTATTAATATTTATATTGCATTTATATTATTAATATAAAAATAATTTTATAATAATTATTAAATGAGTATTATAATTAAATTTTTAAAATGATTTTTATATTATATTAAATAGTTAATTAAGTATCATAATTAAAAAATTAAAAATAAAAATAATTTTTATATGTTTATATTAAATTAAAATAAATATAAAAATATGTTAAACGTGTGAAACATATTAAACATGTACTTGTATGATAAGATTAAATTACATATTTTATTCATATTGTATCATGTATTTAGATAAGTTAACACATAAATGACACAAATTATGTAATGTCAAAATTCATATCGACACTAATAAACACGAAACACATTTTTTTAAAATATATATATGATTCTTTTTATATCGAATTACCATATCTTATTATGTCGTGTTTGAAATTACTATGTTTAATAAAAATAAGGATTTCTTAAAAAGTTAAGAGACATACAAGCTATTTAAAAATGAACTAATGGATGGGTTATGATTATGGTATAATCGAATCATATCGAAAGCTATTACAATGAAAAGTTCAAATTCATAATAAAAATTGAGTTATTTGAATTCATTAAGATTTCGTTTGTTTTGTGAAAATTGATTTAGAAAATATTTTTTAGAAAATATTTATATTTTTTAAAAAAGTAGAAATTTTTTATTGTTTAGATTATTTAATTAAAAATATTTTTTATTATTTAGTTGTTTTGAAAATTTTTTTTTTCAAATAATGGTAATATAACTATTAAAATATTAAAAATTACTTATTATTAAAGTATATTGAAATTATTTATTATTAAAATTATTAATATTCAAGAATAATTATATTTTAAAAATAATATTTAATATTAAAGTATTATGTTAATATAAAATAAAACTGTTTATTATTTATTATATTAATATTTTAAAATATTTAAAATAGTATTATTATTCTTAAAATACTATTTTATTAATATTGAAATAGTAATATTTATTATTAAAATATTTATAATATTAAAATAGTTATATTTTATATTAAAAGTATCTATTATTAAATCTTAACAAAAATCTCTTTTATTTATATTTATTATTAAAATAGTAATATAAATACCTTAATATATAAAATATGAAGTAATATATTTTAAACTAAAAATAATAAGAAATTATTAAAAATACATATTAAGAAAATAATATTATTATATTATATAACATTAATTATTAAAATAATAAAATATTATTATATATGTTATTATTTATTATTAAAAGAATAATATAATATTATTTATGATTGAAACATTAAAAATATTTATTTTTCATAATATACAAAATAAAATATTTAAAATTGAAATATTAAAAGACTTTTAATGTTAATATTTAATATTTTAATAAAAATTGAAAAAATTATTTTTATTAATATAATAATATTTCGAGTTGAATCAAATCAAGTTCGGGTTTGAAATATTATATTCAAAATCTTACTTGAGTAGAATTATAAAAATATTTAAAATTAAAATATCAAAAAACTTTTAATATTAATATTTTAATTTTTTAGTAAAATTAAATAAAATATTATTTATTAATATAATAATATTTTGGTTTGGGTCAAAGTTATTTTAAATTTTAAAAAAATTATATACAAATTTTGACTTGAGTAAAATTATACTCAAATGCATTAATAAGTAATTTTACTTATAGACAAATTTTTTTTTTCAAAAATTATCTTTCTTTTTTTAAAGGGTAAGATAATTTTTAGAAAAATTTTCCTTATTTTCCGTTGATCTAAGCTATTTTCTGTTTACTAATAAGTTTTCTAGCAAATAACCACTTGAAAATATGAAAATCATTTTTTTGTAAGCAATCGAAATCTTAACTAAGTTTGTTTATTTAATAAAAAATAACCTCGAATTTTAAGTTTGGTTTTAAATTTGATTATTTGTATTTGAATTTAAATTGATATATATATATATAATAATTTGCAATTAAAATAATTAAAAATATATTAAAAATATAAAAATTGAATTTGTTTTATGAATTATTTAAATTGGATATTAAAATGCACGAATTTAAATCTTTTAATAAGTTAAATTGCTCAAATTAAAATTCACCTCTATAACAATTGAACTAAATCAAAATACTTTATAAATATTAATGTATCATTTATTCTCTTAATTATTATAGTCAAGTTTTAACTTCTAAATCTCAAAATCTATGGATCGGGCCTTAGGTAGTCGAAGCCTTTGTTCTTGAACATAAATCTAGGAGGCAACAACTTTTTGGTAACTCCAATGCTTTTGTTTGTGCTAGGAAACCAAGTTGTTTTTGTATCCTCATTGGCTTCCACCAGTGTCAGAACATTAAACATTATCCAACATTCTTACATTTTTTTTTTTTATAAAATAACTATGTATTTGAACCAATTACCAAAAAGAGATAGGATAAAATTTTGAAACATTTAAAAATTAAAAATAAAAATGAGACTAATTGAAGGAATAAAACGTTATACAAAACAACATTATCTCAATAAAAAAAAATGACCATACGTTTTGTTACTCCATAATATTTGTCCTAATTAATTAGAATTAAATTTATCTCATTTATTCGGACCAAATACCATTTTTGAAAAATAAAAAAGAGAAAGAGATTGTACTATAGATGTATGGTACTTATGCATTTAGTGGTCAATAGAGCATAGTAATTTTTTTTTTTATGTTAGAAACCTTTAGCAGATAACAAAAGATAATTTGGACATTTATGCCTACCTGATATGTCAGATCGATTTGACATTTTTAGTGTCACGTTAGCTTGGCAATGTCTTTATTGTCCTCTAGTGGTCCCCTATCATTTATTTATAAGTATGAAGTCCAAGCATCATGAAGATGACACACATCACTCCATCTTCTTTCTATTACTCTCCTTTCGACCTTATTCTTTCTGACTTGCACATCATAGTGCAAATACAAGGAACATTCTCTACCTTTTGCCTTTAACTACCCTTCTTTTTTATCTTTTCAGGAATACCCTGAAATCGGAGCTCAGAACAAACATTTGGCTGCCTATATAAGGAACTTATTTCATTCATTAATCGACCGTAAAATAATGCCAATAAGGAAGAGAACCTTAGAGGAAGGAGAGACGGTTGTCCTAGTTGAAACAAAAACCTATCATAGCCAAAATTTCACCTGACTTGCCTAACCATAAAAAGGATCGACCATCAAACAATTCCAAGCCTTGACCGAACAGATATAGACTCTTAAACAGATGTTATATACCATAACTCCATCATAAGTTTCAAAAATGCCTGACCTAATCACTTTTGGTTGAGAGCCATTGTTAGACAATCGAGCTATGAAGAGGTAGAGCCTTCTCGGCCTCTAGAGAACAAGAGCACAACACCTCAACCTATCATTACCCCAGCCACAATTCAACATAGGCTACACCTAAAAATTCAAACAAACAAACCCTGAATCCTAACTAAACAAGGATTTGGAAGCTTAGATGCATACCATGGAAAAAAAGTTAAAAATGAAAGCAGTGGCATTTGAGGATGAGCTTAAGTTTCTAAAGACCTCACCTTTTTTTGAAGAATCGATAGAGCCATGCCTCTCAAGGGGTTCAAAATATCGACCTTGAAAACCTATGATGGTAATTTTGACCCTTTGGATCATTCAAAATTTTATACAACTAATATGATGATGTAAGGGGCAGATAATGTTATAATGTGTAAAAACTTAGCTATTACGTTGAAGGCCGCAGCTCAATCTTGTTACAACAGCTTGGAATCGAGGTCAATCATGATGTTCAATGAGCTTAGCTGCTCTTTCTTGTCTAGGTTTGTGAGTAGTCGAAGAGTGAAGAAGATGACTTTAACTTTGATATCAATCCAACGAGGACAGAACAAGACTTTGAAGAGCTATGTCACACGTTTTAATGCGAAAGCTTTGTAGGTTAAAGACCTAAATAAATGGCCACTGTAACCACCATAACAAGTGGACTCAATGCTAAAGAGTACCATCTGAAGTTGATATTATCATTAAAACCATCTAAACTTTGGTCGACATCTTACTGATAGTTAAAAAATATATAAATATTGAAGCTACAATAAAAAATAACCAAGGTGAAAGAGGCTCATCCTCTTTTTCGATCGTAAGAAAGGCAATGATTCTTATGATCTTCCCCTAAAAAAAAGACGACATA